TGATGCCACGGCACTCACTCGAGCCAGGGCAACAGAGTGAGACTCTGTCTCAAAAAAAAAAAAAAAGTGATGCCCAAAAGATTATATTTTCCTAAAACTGAATGTCAACATGATTAATGTGTACAGACTTCTTAATGCAGATTGCATTTGTCTTAATATTTCTTTCTATACCAGAGAGTAGGTTTGAACTTGTGGAAGATAAAATCATTCACTCTTTTTTAAACCCATTTATTTTTGGGCAGAATTGAAGGAAACTCCTTGGCACCAAGAGATTAAAATTAATTTATTAGTATTCTTTATAACTAGGAAGAAACCTAATAACTGAATGCCATTGTAAACTATCTTCAAAGTAACTTTTAAGGGAATCTAATAAAATGTACTTTTTCCTTGTATATTGTTTTACAGGATAATGTAAAGAATGAAGACAAAGATCAGAAATCCAAGGAAAATGGTGCGAGTGTATGATAAAAATTCATGTACTGATAAGGAATGGTGTTAAATAATGTAATATATAAAATCATGATATAAGAATGTTTGAAGGTGATGCATGTTTGATTTTAGTAGTATAAATATCTGTTAGTTCAAATGATGTATAAAGTTTTATGAATGTGAGTCTCTGCTTTTGAAAATTGCTTGTAATTCCTAGCATTCAAATTATTAAACACTCCTTGAGTGAAATAATTTTGCATTGCAAAATGTTTTAGGATGAACTTTGTTATAGTTTCAACCCCAATAAAGTTCATCAATTTAATTACCAAATGTCTTTTATTAAAATGCCTAGAAAATTTTATTTATAGAATTATCATTATTCGGTTTTTGATTTTTTTAGTCCATCTTTTAAATTTTCAGTATAAATCATAAAATAACATGCTGCTTGATTTTTCCAAGTTTTTTGAATCAGAAAGTTTTTTACTCATCACCAAAAAATTCCCTCTAATTATCAGTCTCTAAAAGCATTCATTAAGAATTCAGTTCATCCAAAAGAAAATATATCAAAAACAAAGAAAGCAATAGAGAACTAGTATTTTTATTGTATACCTTAGGCTTTACATAAAATTAATTGTCCTGATGTTAATGTTACTGCACTCAGTTAATTTTCCTACCTTCCCAGAATAGCACCTATGTTGCTTTTAATTTCGAGGGTTTTTAAAAAATGCAGTATATGTCAAATGTACAGTTTAGTACCAAGCCAGTAGATGTCACTATGATGCCTTAAGTTAAGTCTTCTTTAATTAAAAATAATTTTTTTAATTAATCTGTGTACTTCCTTTAGAATTTTAGTGAATATTTAAGAGTTGATTTAACTATTGAGTGAAAAGTTAGGAAATGTGATATACTCTAAAACAGTGGTTATCAACAGAGGGTGAATTTATCCCTCAGAGAACATTTGGCAGTGTCTGGAGAGGTTTTTTTGATTCACGACTGGGCGAGTGCTGCTGGCATTTAGCTAGTAGAGGCCAAAGATGTTACTAAACATCCTGTGTTGCATTGGACAGCCATCCCTTACAACAAGGAATTATCCAACTGAAAATGTCAGTAGTGCCCAGGTTGAGAAACCCTGCTCTAAAGGAATATAGAGTTAAATGACATTTTGTCTGTCAAGTTATACTAGTAGAAAGTTAATGGAGTCTATAACAGATGATTAGGTTTTTTGCATTTAAATAACACTTACTGGATGTTTCACTGCCATAAAATATATGCCATATTAGAGTTTATTTCATTTTGTTTTACTTTATTTTGTTAGAATAATGGCTAGGTGTTCCAAATAGATGAATATGAGAATGTAAAGTGCCATGTTACATGTGACTCAAGCTAAATGGAATCCACATGGCTCTTAGTAAGAAATAGATTAAAATACCTCAGATTCCTTCAGACTTATTTTTGTCTTAAGTTGCTGTTCTTAAAGCTTTTTAAACCTCTCCAAAGTCAGAGTATGTATTGATCCTTAATTATACAATTAGTGTGTAAATGTTTCTGTCTTTAAGGTGAGATGAAACATTATAGAGTTGTCAGAAAGTACTTTTCCTCAAAGGAAAAATTTTTTTTTTTTTTTTTTTGAGACAGAGTCTCACTCTGTTGCCCCGGCTAGAGTGAGTGCCGTGGCGTTAGCCTACCTCACAGCAACCTCAAACTCCTGGGCTCAAGCAATCCTACTGTCTCAGCCTCCCGAGTAGCTGGGACCACAGGCACGCACCACCATGCCTGGCTAATTTTTTCTACATATATTTTTAGCTGTCCAATTAATTTCTTTCCATTTTTTGGTAGAGACGGGGTTTCGCTCTTGCTCAGGCTGGTCTCGAACTCCTGAGCTCAGAACGATCCGCCCGCCTCGGCCTCCCAGAGTGCTAGGATTACAGGTGTGAGCCACCGCGCCTGGCCTCAAAGGAAAAATTTGAAGATACACTTCTAACTAAAAGACAGTAACGATAGAATTGCTTAAAATGAGTTTTTCAATGAGAAAGATCATATAAAGGCCACATGTCAGGCTTTTTTCCCCCTACCTAAATTTAAATCAGAATAAAATTGGGATGATGGAAAAAAAAGACAAAATCATTCCATTATATTGTTACTTAGAGGTATATTTCTTACAAAATAGTTTCATTGGAAATAGAAATTGAGATTACTAAGCTAGGGAAAAAAAACAAGTTACATACAGAAAAATTGGTTTTAGAGGAAATGAGGGGAGAACCTGTTTTGCTTTTCCTAACTATTTTGGATATTTATTTAGAAGTAAAAATACAATCTCTTCTTCTGTCTGTCACTGACCAAGCCAAAAACTTTAATCAGATGGTAAACTAGGGCTGGGCATGTTGGCTCACACCTGCAATCCTAGCACTCTGGGAAGCCGAGGTGGAAGAGTAGCTTGAGCTCAGGAGTTCCAGACCAGCCTGAGCAAGAGCACGACCCCGTCTTTACTAAACATAGAAAAAATTAGCCAGGCTTGGTGGTGCACACCTTTATTCCCAGCTACTCGGGAGGCTGAGACAGGAGGATCTCTTGAGCCCAGGAGTTTGAGGTTGCTGTGAGCGAGGCTGACCCCTTGGTACTCTAGCCCGGCAACAGAGCAAGACTCTGTCTCAAAAAAAAAAAAAAAAAAAAGATAATAAACTAGGTCAGTGATAACATTTTATTTTCCTACCCTTTTTATGTTGTGGATGCCTGTTTTTATTTGTTTATTTATGTATGTATGTATGTGTTTAATTCCTCCCCCCTCACTTTGTTGCCCAGCCTGCTGGAGTTCAGTGGCATGATCATAGCTCACTGTAGCATCGAACTCCTGCCTGGGTTCAAGAGATTCTTCTGCTTCAGCCTCCCAAGTAGCTGGGACTACAAGTGCTACCACACTTGGCTAATTTTTAAATTTTTTGTAGAGATGAAGTCTCACTGTGTTGCCCAGACTGGACTCAAACTCATGGCCTGAAGTGATCCTTCTGCCTTGGCCTCTCAAAGTGGTGGGATTATAGATAGGCATGCGCCCCTGTGCCCAACTGATATAAATTATATAGGTTTTCTTGTGTGTCTGGAGGCATATTATGAGAGTAAGATGAGGTGCTATTTAAGTCACTGAGTCAGCTCCTATTTCAGTCCCATTAATGGTAGAGTCTGAATGTGATTATTTTATGCCTAATCTAAAACAGTGGTTCTCAAACTATAATATGTGTCTGAATCATCTGGAAGGCTTATTAAAACACAGATTGCTGGGCTCCACCCCCAGATTTTGTGATTTAGAGGTCTGGGTTAGGGCCCAAGAATTTGAGCTTTTTTGGGGTTTTTTTCCTTCAGTTTTTAAAGATGAGATCTTGCTATGTTGTCTAGGCTGGACTCAAATTTCTGGTCTAAAGCTATCCTCATGCCTCAGCTTTCTGAGTAGCTGGGACTACAGGTAGGAGCCACCACACCTGGCAAGAATTTGCATTTTTTTTTAAGAATTTGCATTTCTTTCCACCTCCCCCATGCAAGGAGGAAAAGGTTAGCTTTATTTCATAGAACCAAGGTAAATCACTAAGGAAGAAAGAGGCAGTGCCAAGAGTAAAATTCAAGTCACTTGACAGCACTCTATGGAAAATCTACACATTCCTAAAATAGAAATCTTCTAAAGAACTAGTTAAAATATTCCTTAATTTGTGAATATAAGTGAGTCTAACAGTTGCATAGGTCAGTCTGAAAGATGTCACTAACCTGGTGACTGACTGTGCCATGAGGACCACAGCCAGTGAATAAGGTCATCCGTTATTCTTTGAGGACTCTAGCACACAGAATTTGCATTTCTAACAAGTTCCCAGGTCCTGCTGCTGTTGCTGGTCTAGAGGAACACACTTGGAGAACCTCCAAACTAAGGTATTCACAGAAAGCAAGTTTCCCAACTTAATATGAGATAAAAACTGGGAGAAGAGTAAGTTGTTTTGGAGATACTAACTCTGAGCCATTTGGGCTTTTTCTCTAGGGGTAAATAAACTACAGTTGACACTGAAGTACTTACTGACTTAATGAATGCAAGTCTAGGAACCTGCAGGTAATCAGCTTTGAAAAGCTAATTTGTGATAGTTGCTTTACAGAAAGGGTCACAACTTTTTAAATCAACCAGATTAAATAAGCTGGGAAAAACAGTCATATTTTCTTTATTTCATAGTTTTATTTTTTTGTTTTTGGGGGGTATTTTTGAGACAGAGTCTCACTCTGTTACACGGGTTAGAGTGCAGTGATGTCATCATATAGCTCACTGCAACCTCTAATTCCTGGGTTCATGTGATCTTTCTGGGTTAGCCTTTTTTTTTTTTTTTTTTTTTGAGACAGAGACTCACTCTGTTGCCTGGGCTAGAGTGCCATGGCGTCAGCCTAGCTCACAGCAACCTCAAAGTCCTGGGCTCAAGCAATCCTACTGCCTCAGCCTCCCAAGTAGCTGGGACTATAGGCATGTGCCACCATGCCCCGCTAATTTTTTTTTCTCTCTCTATATATTTTTAGTTGTCCAGATCATTTCTTTCTGTTTTTTAGTAGAGACGGGGTCTCGCTCTTGCTCAGGCTGGTCTTGAACTCCTGACCTTGAGCAATCCACCCACCTCGGCCTCCCAGGGTGCTAGGATTACAGGCATGAGCCACTGCGCCTGGCTTGGGTTAGCCTTTTGAGTAGCTGGGACTACAAGTTCGAGCCACCACACTCAGCTAATTTTTTTTATTTTTTTGTAGAGAAAAGGGGTCTTGCTATTGCCCAGGCTGGTCTCAAACTCCTGGCCTCAAGCAATCCTCCCACCTTGGCCTACCAAAGTGCTGAAATTATAGGCATGAGCTGTCGCAACCAGCCGTAGGGTTTTGTTTTTGTTTTTTAATTTTTCTTTTTTCACTCCTCACCCTCAAGCTGATATGATTATACAATTCCTTTTTGTGGTTTCAAATTATAAACATGATCTAATTAATGTGAAGTGTCTGTCTGGTCAGTGTGGTCCCTACCCTACCCTGCTGGGTGGATGACAAGTAGGATGCTGAGACATAATTTGTTAAGTTTGTAAGTGCTTGGTTGGGAGACTAGGTAGGTGGTGAGGGAGCCTGTCTAAGCTGACTTGAGCAAGAACACTAGAGTAGGTTGCTAGGCTGAAGAGGAAAAAAAA